AGGAACCTTGTATATGCCCTTGTTTGTTGATATATATATATATATATATATTTTTAGAACAATATAATAATATTTCCAATTTTCACAATCCTACTGCATTATTCTTTTTGTTTTCTGACTGTGTAGATGAAGAAATGTACTTATAGAACTAGAAATAATAGATAAAAATTCTCCATAGGACTGAATATTTCTTCTATAGGTACTGATTATATTTTTATATAGGAATAGCTGATCTTAATACAACAGTAGAAAGGCATAATAGAAAAGTACTTTTATGAAAATTTATAAACGTATTCTATAATTTCCATATCTTTTAAGCTGAGAACTACAATTCACATAACAAAATTGTTTATTAAAAGATTATAAACTAAAATTCTATTTCAGTTTAACTTTATAAACCAAGTTAAGAGTAAGATAATGAAATTAAAATAAATAAATTTTAATGACATTATTTGTAGGAAAGAGCCTATCATAATACTAATAATAATATTTTCAATTCAAATTTTGTAATTTTTTTATAACTTAAATCTATATAAAACCATTTAATTAAGCAACAGCATTATTCAATATTAAAATAATAATTACTTTTGTTTAAAAGTATATAAAAATGCTTATTTTACAACTTAATATACTTTAATTGTTCATAATATCAAATTTCAGAGAGTAAATTTTACTAAATTTGATTAAAACATGAAAACCTATCTGTAATATTTAAAATAAAAATCTTTCAAATACAAAAACTACAATTTCAATGATACTTTTTTATTGTTGTTGAGAAACTTTTGCTTATACAAGATTAACTCATCAATCATTAACATGTTAAATGAATTTCATTTCTGTAAAAATGGTTTATAAAATTTTAATGTGTAAATCAATATAATAGTATTATAAATTACAAAGTCAACTTTATCAACTTTCTTACTACTCAAAATTCCATCAAAAAATTTGTTACACTTCATCTACAGACTATTTCTATTTTCAATTCATTGAGAGCTTATTCTATAAATTTTTCATCATTATTAGTCATTATTAAATAATATATAAAATGAAACTAAATATAAAATGCATAATAAATTGATGAATTTTTAAAAATATCAACTGAAAAATATATTAAATAATTGTAACGACACATTAATAAATTCAAGTATGTATTATGTACAACATGGTTGTCATCATACAAGATTATAAATATGTAAGAATTTGATTATTAAATTTACTTCTCAAAATATATTTTATATACATCAAAATATTTTTAATAAACAACTATACTTACTCAATGCAAAACATAATAATTTGAAAGATGTTTGTAAAAAAGCTTGCCAAAATCTGCACCATAGAGATTTTGTTGCTATCACAGCTTCTAAAGAATGAACTTGTTTCAAATTTTCAGCAATTTTTCCATGTTCATTATAAATGCTGTATGAACAATAAAAAAAAATTATTTTAAAAATAGATTAATGTTATAATTTAGTTTATTCATAATAATTTTTGTTATTTAATTATTGATTTATTTCCAATAAAGTAAATATTTTGACAAAGTTAATAAATCAATTTCTTCATACAGTTTAAAAAATAATTCAATTAATTTTCATTTTTTAATAAAATTAACTTGATAAATGTTACAAGGCTCAACAAATACCACGCATCAATGGCCAGATGCAGTAGAAAGATCAATGATAGCGTTGTAAATTTTTCAAAACAATGACTTATTTGCAAGCTCTTGCTATCTGTTTTTTAAAATCACTTGAATGTTCAAATCACTCAACATTAATCATTGCGAAATATCTGCTTTCTATCTTGCATCTGATATTATGATTATGATAACATGATAGTGAATTAAATGTTTCTGAGATAAATAATAATAATAATTTGCCATTTTTACATCATATCATATATCAAAAGATTCGCTTTAAAATAGCATTGAAATTTTTATTATTGAATGGTTTCATAGAGGGAAAGAATTCAGATAGTCATTTCAAAATGCTATTAAAGTTAAAAAACTTCAATAGCATCAATTTTTGGTGTCAGTGTCACAATCTTAATAACATCTACATACAATTTACAACAATCATAGATTTCTAATTTACATAATCTTTTAATGACATTAATCGATAATGTGTTCATTAATTTGTGTAGTTCAGGAATTACTACTGATTACATAAATCTTCATTTCAAAATCCTTCTAGAGCAGGGGTGGGCAATCTATGAAGCAAAATTTTCTCAGGTGCCAACCAAAATCTTTCAGAGCATATTATTTGGTGTCTTTGAAGTATTGAAGGAACTTTTCAAATAAAAATTCACATACATAAACACTTTAAAAACCTGAAAAATCTGTTATGAAACACAAAATATGTATATAAAAAAATATGNATTTTAGAAACAAAATATAAAAAAAACATTTTAATAATTACTTAACAATTTTATTTTAAATTGGTTTATTTTTATATTGAATGTTAAGAATGCGTTATAACAACACAAAGCAAATATAAAAAATATAAAAAATGCAAACAACAAAATATAAAAATAACTTTTATCTATTTATATTAAATAATTATGTAAACAAAAAATATAATTTAATATCCTTACGTAATTCCCCAGTCTTTATTCTTCATTATCAAATCTAATGCTTTACTAAAATTTTCTTCAAATGTTTCTCTTTGCTATAATAAAAATTTATAGTAATTTAACTGATAATATGTAACATATTAGTCAATCAATTATTTATTGATAATAAAATGTATTAAAATACATTTGAAGACAAATTCTCAATAATCCAAATTAAAAATAATGAAGTGATTTTTTGAAACTATCCCCACTTCCTCAGCAGTTTACTTACAACTAAATTAAACACCATAACACATGCTGAGCTTACTGCAATTTAATATTCAATTGCTTTTGGCCTATAAGAATAAGCTGAAAGCATTTGAATATTAAACTGCAATAAGCTCAACATATGTTATGATGTTTAATTTAGTTGTGATTTTTTGAATTTCTGTGGTAAATTTCTGAAATACAGTAACAAATAATAATAATAAATTTTAAATTTGTATTCACTTTTATTTACTGCTTCATCTCAAAAATCATTAATCATCAATTAATGCTTTATAAAAATTGTGAATATTTCAAATTTTGAGCAAGAAGAAAAGGACTTATGGAAATAATTCATATTTGATATATGATAATGATTGTTGAATTACACACAATTTTATTGAATTAATTTTGAAATAGATGTTTGCTTATGAAAAACAACACCAAGCAATAGTAATGCAAATGAAAACTTTATACTATTTTAGATCAAAACAATGGCATTTTACTGGTGTGTGAAATGTATAATGTATCTAGAAGAAATTTTTTATTATATTGTATCAAAAATAAATAAAATATTTTTTAATTTTTTTAAAAAATGCAAATAATAATAATATGACAACAAAATTTAATAACCATTTTAAATTTTGTTTAATTTTCCTATGGAAAAAATATTCATCTTTTCATCCAGTATACTCATTTTTAATATTTTTAACATTTATATTAATTTCTTAAAGATTAAATTTTAAAAAATTTTCATTTTATCATATATAAATATTTTATAATAAAATAAAATACTTTCTGAAAATAGTGTTTTAGTCATTACAAACATTTGCTTCATACATATTAGAAATATTCTACTTCCTATTTCATACAACAAGCTAATTAATTTTAACAAAATCTTGTTTATCAAACTGTAAAATTTTATGCAATACATATTTTAGTATGATTGTTTTGTGTTTACTGTAGGATAACTGATTAGAAGGTATCTCATACTTCAAATATACTCTGAAGTAATTATTATTGTTCCTTTTTTTGAATACATAATAATATCAATAATTTTTTTTCTTTTGATTAGTTGTACGAAAGTAAATTATATTCCTCCTAATCTCATAGCATTGAATAGACAACTAACTGATAAACCAAATAATGGATTATTTCTATTACATATTTTTATTATATAATAGTTACAACTTTCAAATAATTTACTACTAAAAAAATTAGAAATTATCATCATCTTTCTGAATAATAAAGTGCTAGTACAGTAGAGCCTCGATTATCCGACTCAACTGGGGACTGGGATTGGTCGGATAATTGAAAAGTCGGATAACCGAAAAGTATGAAAAAATCCATTATTAGTGTAGTATATTATTATATCCCATGTAATTAGTATATTAGTATATCGCTATTAACCTATTTTGCGTTGAATTTTCATCGATGTTAAGCCTAACAAAAATTTTTTAAAATAATAATCGTCGCTATTGTA